CCGGCCACCGCAGTAGGAGCTTCTGCGGCCCCCCAGTTGAGTGGAGCCTGTGTCAGGATGACAGGCTGGTTCTGGGATGACTCCACAAGCCCTGCTTCAGGGCTGACCTGGATGATGACCTTGCAAGGTCCAGGGTTGTGGGGGCCAGGACCGGCAGCTCCTGCCACCACGGGCATCATGGGGAAAGGTGACAGCACCAGAGGAATGCCAGGCGCGCTGGCCGAGGTCACCAGAGGGGGCATCTGGATCGGCTCCCAGGGTGGTGGCTGGGGGAGGCCCTGGATTGAGAAAGGGCAAGACCCTGAAAGCAGTTCCGGAGACCCCAAGGTTCATGGTCATCTCTGGGAGCACCACGGAAGACTCTGTGGAGAGGAGGGAGGGGGAATGAGAGGGGGATGGTGCAGGGAGCAGTGGTGCCTCATTGGCTCAACCATCTCTAGATCAGGCCCTTTGATGGGAATGAGGCGGCATGCCCTGTCTCAGCCCTGAGTCCCTGACACAGGCCATCCTTCCCCTCCAACTGGGTTATGCTTTGTGGAGATCCTAAGGCCAGGGTCCTTGTGTCCTGGGATGGCCTCTATGCTGATCACACTGACCTCTCACACCCTGCCCTCCAGCCTCTTTGGAGCTTCCCAACATGTACCTGGACACACTGGTATGTTGGCAAGAGACCCTGCAGGGTCAGTCACAGAGACTGGACCAGCCGCACCACAGGTGCTCAGCACCTACAGGGTCCCATGACAACAGAGTCTAAAGGACAGACTGTCTACTCAGGCCGAGGGGCAGTCCTGTATGGGCCAGCAGCCGGGCACCTTCTGAGGCAATAAGGCCCCAGGAGGCCCCAGACGTCTGCCAGGGTTTAGCACCAGTGCAGGGTAAGCTCACAAGTTTGGTCCCCGGGACAGCGTATGTTCACTGGAGCAGTCAAGAGTGACTCCTCAGCGGGGCTGGAGCAATAGCACAGCGGGTAGGGCGTTTGCCAACCCGGGTTCGATTCCCAGAATTTCATATGGTCACCTGAGCACCGTCAGGGGTGATTCCTGAGTGCAGAGCCAGGAGTAACCCCTGTGCATGGCCGTGTCAGACCCAAAAAGCTTCCTCTCCTTCAAACAGAAAACAAACAAATAAACAAACAGAAACAAAGAGTGACTCCTCAGTACAGAGCCATGAGGAGCCTGAGCACTTCTGGGTGTGACCCAACTGCCCCCAAATTGTTTTAATAATTCTGTTTGGGGGGTACATGTTATTCACTTTCATCCCCACTAACGTGTCCAAACACCTCTGCCACTGCCTTTTTGTCATTTCAAGTTTGTCCCTTCCCTCTCTGCAATGTAATTTTACGTGAATTCAAATTCACTAAATATTTTAAGAAACACATTTTATGCTTAACTTTTCATTAGTAATAGCACCGTAGCACTGTCCTCCCGTTGTTCATCGATTTGCTTGAGCAGGCACCAGTAATGTCTCACAACAAATGTGAGACTTGTTGTTACTGTGTTTGGCATATCGAATGTGCCACGGGGAGCTTGCCAGGCTCTGCTATGTGGGCGAAATACTCTCGGTAGCTTGCCGGACTCTACTGGGGGCGGAGGAATCGAACCTGGGTCGCCTGTATGCAAGGCAAACACCCTACCCGCTGTGCTATTGCTCCAGCCCTCATTAATAGTAGCACTGTCCTCCCGTTGTTCATCGATTCACTCAAGCGGGCACCAGTAATGTCTCACAACAAATTGTGAGACTTGTTGTTACTGTTTTCGGCATATTGAATACGTCATGGGGAGCTTGCCAGGCTTTGCCCAGTGGGCGAGATTCTCTTGGTAGCTTGCTGGGTTCTCCGAGAGGGGCGGGGGAATCGAACCCGGGTCAGCCATGTTGGCCGCCTACAAGGTAAACGCCTTACCCACTGTGCTATTGCTCCAGCCCGTTAATAGTGATAAGTGCAGAGAATTAAAATGTTTAACACTGAAGAGTTGTTTTCCTACTGTTTCTCAATAATTAGAGTTGCAACTAGTTTTTAAAAACTAGTAGTCTAATTCCCTGAGAATCTCTAAGGTCCTGAGTTTCAAATATCTTGTCACTGAAAATGAAGAATGGTTCTCAAACACCTTCTCTACAGGTACCAGGACCATATTTAAATGGTAAAACACTTAACAATTAAATAAGTACATTAAATCGGCCCCCTTTATAATTATTATATGATTATTTGGTTTTCTACTTTCAGCACACATCTCCCATCTTGAGCGATCTGGAGCGATAGCACAGCGGGTAGGGCGTTCGCCTTACAAGCGGCCAACATGGCCGACCCGAGTTCGATTCCTCCGGCCCTCTCGGAGAGCCCGGCAAGCTACCGAGAGTATTCGATATGCCAGACACAGTAACAACAAAGTCTCCAATGGAGACGTTACTGGGCCCGCTCGAGCAAATCGATGATCAATGGGAGGGCCTTTACCTTTACCTATTAGGTTTTGGGGGTACACCTGGTATACTCACATCTTGCTCCTGGATCTCTGAACAGACTCATTTATCACAGTGTGGGGGCTATATGGGGTGCTGGGAATCGAGTGCATGGATTGGCTATGGGCAAGGCATGCGACATATCTGCTATACTATCCCTCCCACATATTTTTTTTCAAGAGTGATGGCAAATGTTCAAATATGTCTGGTTACAAAAACATTTAAATTCTATGATGTCAAATCAAAGCATTGTACATTTTATGTGAGTGAAGAATATGATATGCAAATACCCAATGAGCTTTAATTTTTTATTTGGTCCAGGCTAATGCAGCAAGATGTGAGCCTTGTCTATGCCCTCAGGATGGTGTGGGCCTGCAGGTGACTGAGCACATCTTCCTCCAGATGGGAAGGACTCGTCCACTCTCCAGGCAGCACAGTACTCTCAGGGTTCCCCCCTCCCCTGTGATTCCCCTCACCCTTTGTGGTCTCAGGCCTCCCAAGGAGCACAAGTGAGAGGACAGACACTGAGATGTTTCCAAAGAACTGAACTTTATTCACTATTTACACAATGACACAAAGAGGCTGCTCCAGTCAAACCCCCCATTCTAGGTACAGCCCCCGCCATTCCAGAGCAGGCTTAGCTGAAGATCATGGGGAGTACAAGGCTTCTGGGTGCAGCCAGACACTGGGAGGTGGTCAGGAGGAGCCCCCAGATATCCTACTGTCTCTTGTGCCCCCTCCCCCTCCTCTGGGCCATGGCAGGCTGGAACTTTCTCTTGGGGGGCAGGGAGGGGCCCTCCAGCTCCACAGTCAAGGCTGAGCCACTTGACACCATGGGGTGCCCCCTGGGACAGGAGGTCTTCTTAGCAGTACGCCGCCTTGGGCCCCCACACAGAGGATTCTTCCTGGTAGGGGCCTTAGACTTGAAGGCCCTTGTGCGAGTGGATGGGAGCTCTGGATTCCCCTGACCTCCAGGCAGGTGGGGGCCAGTGTCGGGGCCAGTGTCTGGGCCAGGGCTCCTGGGTAAGCCCCAGGGCAGCAGGCTGTTGTGAGAGGCTTGGAGGAAGACCTGGCTGGTCAGTTCCTCTTTCTCCTCACTGGAGCCCTCTGCTGCCCCAAGCGAACCCCGGCCTGGAGGGGCCTCTCCCAGCATGCGGGGAGCCCTTCTGTCCAGAATGGGGGCAGTGAGGCTGGGACAGGGGGCCGGTCCTGCCTGCAGGGGTGGGGACTCCAGGTTCCCCAGAGAGGGGGCAGAGGCTCCAGGTGCCATCACAGTGGCCTCGGCCCGCCCAGGCCGTGAGGCATGTCCAGAGTCAGTCTCAGGGGGGCAGGAGTCTTTTATTGTCACCTGGTGTTGGGGACAAGCCTTCATGACCTCCTTAGCCTTTGAGGCCTGCAGACGCTTGTCCACAATCTGGGGGGAGAAGGGACAGTGTGGGCATGTGGGGGTGCAGGGTGGGACAGAGAGTGACTCCTACTCCTCTCAGCAGAAGATGCTTGAGCTCTGTGGCTCCCTTAGAGCCTTCTCACCCTCCATCATCCTCCTTCACCCAGTATTCATGTCCTCTTCTCCCTGAAGCCTCACATGAAGGGGGCAGGGGGGGCATCGCACTTGCTGGGACTCGCTTCTGGGGCGCCCCTCCTTGACCCATGCAGCCCCGCTTATCTGAGTTCCCAGGCTTAGTCACCATCTCCCCGTAGAGTCTCCTTCCCCGAACCAACCCAGAAAACTCCTTTTTGTTTGCCCAGGGTCCTTGCTCACCTCCTTACCTGAACGCCCCGGTCCCTGACACAAACCTGCAGAGGTCCACTTGCCCTCACCTGTGTGGGGGTGAGTCCTTCCTCCTTCTCCAGCTCATCAGCCAGGTCCAGGAGATCCAGCTGGGACTCTGGGCAGAGCAGGTGCTTCAGGAAACTGGGATGAAGGATCGCCTCAACCTGGGAGAGGGAAGCAGTGGTGAGGCTCCTCGTAGGGAACAGGAGGGAATGAGGAAGCAAACACACCTTTCCCCAGCACAGTGCACGGGCTTAGACGGCTGCACAGGCTTGGACGGCTGCACAGTCTCACACAGACACAAGCCGGGAACGCTCACACACACACACACACACACACACACACACACACAGACATGTACACACCCGCACTCACAAAGGCACACGGACTATATACCTACTCTCACAGAGTAGCACATGTGAGCACCCATGGATTCAAGCACACACCTGATACAAATGATACACTCTTTTCCTCCTCTAGGTACATGTACATGTATCTGCACGTGTCTGCACAGCGCTCACACATTACACACAAATGTAGACACACAGAGATATTCACACATTGACCAAACTCAGAAATGCACAAACAAGGGCCACTGCTTGTACACAGAGAGACACACGTGCACACATGCGTACAAACACAAGCAGAAATATGCAAACACAGGTGTGCATTTACACAGAGAGCTCAAAGCAAAGACTGCACATCACTGCCATGCCCTGGATAGAAGCAGCCCTGCACCCTCCCTACCCCACAGCAGGACCCAATCCCCCACCTTGGTGACAAAGTCCTCCTGGGAGCACAGCTCGTACACATAGCTCAAGAGCCCCGGGTCAGGAAAGGTCCCAGCCTCCTCCTGCTGCTCCTCCCTGTCCACTGCCCGTCGGCTGAGGTGCGCCCTGCAGACTGAGTCGGGGGCCTTTAGCAGCTCGTCCATGATGTCCATGTACTCCTGCACGGCCTCAGGAGGGATCTCCTCGGGGGCCTTGGACTTGGGGGGCTGCTGAGGTTTGTGTGTCTTGGGGTGAGCTGCCTCGGCCTGGGGTCTGGCCTTCTTGGGGACACAGGCTGAGGAGGAAGGAAGAAGAGAGGGATGTGAGGGGACCCCGTGTCCATGCCCTCAGACACACAGCACTGAGCACAGAGTTGGGGACAGGTCCCAGTGGGCTGGATCAGGGCCCTAGAATCCCGTGGATGCATGAGGGATGAGGTGGCCCTCAACGGGAGGAGGGACCAAGTGTGTCCCCAGGGTCTCCGATCCCACTTCAAAGGTGAGTCTGAAGCCTCAGGCAGCGTGGGGTGTGCTAGGAGAGGGAGAAACCCGTGGACAGGGGGCCGCTGAGCACAGGTCTGGGGGTCATCGGGAGAGTGAAGGCTCCCTGTCAGGTCAAGACCCACGAGGGCCTTTCCAGGTCCTGTGGCCCTTAGCTGGGAGCAGGGTCCGTACCTGTCTGCTGGTCTGCCAGTGGGCCTGGAGCCCCCTGAGGCCCAGGCCTGGGTGGGGCGGGGAGTGGCAGGCCCTGCGCTCCATTCGTCCACTGCAGTTTCTGCACCTCCATCTCCTCCTCGGCCTCGAACTCCATGAACCTGGTGTGGGGAACACAGGCCCTGATGAGTCGGGTTGAACGGGACTGAGTAGGATGAGTAAGGGACAGGGGATGCTCATGGCCCAGTCCCCAGGAGGGTAGAGAATGGGGTGGACACGGACCCCAGCACCCCCAGCGATCCCCCACATTGGCCCTGGAGGGTCACAGCAGGTCAGGGACTGTGACCCTCAGACTGTGGTCAGGAGCCCCAGAGTGGGCTGGGGAAAAGTGTCCCGGCTCCGGGAGGAACAAGTTTCTGCAGGGGAAGGGTCTCCTGGGGCTGCCTAGCCCTCCCTGCCCCTCGGCCATCTGGGAGCAGCCCCTGAAGCTCGGGCCTGCAGCCACCCTGACCCCTACTCTCTGCCCAGGCCTGACTCACTTGGCCGCCATGTCGGAGTAGATCATGCGGTCATAGTTGCTCGTGCCCCGCCATTCCCGAAGGGCCAGGCGAAGGCCTTCCTCCAGGCTCATGGTGGGCTTCAGGCGGGCCAGAGTGCGAAACACCGGGCTACAAGGACAGGCTTGGTCAGGGTCTGCATCTGCCAGGAGGCCACACTGCCCCACATCCATACCTTGACTGCCTTGACCCCCAATGGTGGCCTGGTCTCCCCTCCCAGAGTGGACCTCGCATACCACACCCTACCCTGGTGGCTGTACTGGCGTATACCCTCAGCTCTGGGGATATGTCATGGGATGCCAAGGCCGAGAAGTCACGGCCTGTCTGAACCCTGGCACATCTGTGCTGTGTCTGGTCTTAGGAACAGAATGTCTGTCCCTCAGACCACATATCAGGACCAACCCTGATGAGATAACTGAGGTGAGGCTTTCGGACATGGCTGGTCACTACGGGCTCCTGAGCCAGAATTCCGGGATGGCATCCCTGAGAACATCTGTCCCATGGACCCTACCCTGGGGGTCACCCCAGTCCCCTCCTGGGAAGCTCCATGAACCCGATGACCACTGAAAGACTCACATGAGGAAGCAGGAAAGGACTTCAGTGTCAGGAGTCCTGGGAAGGTACCTCCGGGTCAGAGCCTTCAAAAGCTTCCAGCGCTGGAAGTTCTCATAGACACTGTTGGGCCTGCGCGAGGCTTCAGGAGGGGCCTGGCTCCAAGCAGGGACTGGATCACTGTCCCCACAAAACCACTGGGGCTGTATCCCACCGGAGGATAAGAATAGAGTGGGGACTATCTGAGCCTCTGGTGGTGGAGCATGAGGCAGATGGTCTCCCATACCAGACTGGGTGACAGTAGTAGCTGGGGTGGTTGTAACGGTCTTTGGCACAGAGGATGCCAAGTAGACGGGTGCAGGATGCCCAGATGGAGCCTCTGTTGCACCCTGGTTGGGTGGAGCCTGTGTCTGGGTGACAGACTGGTTCTGGGCTGACTCCAGAATCTTCCCTTCAGAACTGACCTGGATGATGACCTTGCAAGGTCCAGGGTCGCAGGGGCCATGGCCAGCAGTTCCTGCCACCACGGGCATTGTGGGGAAAGGTGACATCACCAGAGGGTTGTGAGGAGCAATGGCCGAGGTCACCAGAGGGGGCGTCTGGATCAGCTCCCAGGGTGGTGACTGGGGGAGTCCTGGATTGAGGAAGGGCAAGAAGTCACCGAAAGCAGAGCCAGAGACCCCAAGGTCCATGGTCATCTCCGGGGTCAGCACTGGAGACGCTGTGGAAATGGAAGGAAGGAGGGATGAGAGAGAGAATGTACAGGCGTAGCAGCCCGTGTCCCTCTACTCCCCAGTGCCCATCAGTCCTGATGGTCCCTATTAAGGCCCTTTTACAAGGCACAGGGCAGCACGCAGTGTCCTCAGCATTCGGTCCCCGACCCCAGGTGGAATTCCTCACCTGCCGGCTGGATTCTTATTCATCATGACCCTGAGCCCAAAACACTGTGCTGGGAGAGGCAGTTTCTGGGGCTCAGTGCTGACCCTCCTGCTTCCCAGACTAAGGAGACGAGACTCTTCGGGGATGTTTCCTACTCAGGAAGAGCCCAGGGCTCAGATACGTGCACACCACTCACTGCCCGGCCCTGTGCTATCAGACCCACAGCAAACTCTTCACACTGGCTGGTACTGCCACACTGTCCCAGACACCGAGTCACTCCTGACCTCAGAAGTCCCCTTGACAGGAGAGGGATCTCTAAAGTGGTTCTGGGGCCCTGGGTTCCCATGATGGCAGCAGGGATGGAAAAGGCCAGAGAATACACCATCACACTCCTTGGAACTGCTTGTCATGTTAGATCGGACATGAAGTGACACTGTCTGTGGATCTCCTGCCACAAGCTCCCAGGGACAGACACGGGCCACTAAACACCAGGCATCAGCCAGCTGCCAGGAGAGACAATGTCGTCTGCAGCCATCCATGCGCTGAGGAGCCTAGGAGAGCGTAGCAGGAGAGAACCCAGAGCCTGTGGACATCATGGTCAGGACAGCGGCCTGACATTCCTGCTACTGCCGAAGATGGTCTTTATGCCTTGTTACACTCCACCTGCTCTCTAACAAATTGGCCTTCACAGAGTTTCCTTGGGAAAATCAGCCCCCCAACGCCCCACTGGCTCTGTCGCTGTCTCTCTGTCTGCCTGTCTCTCTGTCTCTGTCTCTGTCTCTCTCTCTGTCTGTCTCTCTCTCTCTCTCTCTCTTTCTCTCTCTCACACACACACACAAACATACACACACAAACACACACACACGTTCCCTGTCTGTGACGGAGAATGTGAAATTCAATCAGTCTTTCCCTCAGTGCTGAAACGCAGGCTGGGACTGCACCACGAGATGCTAGACAGGAAGAGTGAATTTCCTCTAAAGGGAGAACAATCCAGAGCAACTCGGAATTTCAAGTCCTACTAACTAGGCTGAAGTTGCCTGTCTGCCAGCCCTGCCCACCCAGGACAGCTGCCTGGGCCAAGGGAGGAGTGAGAGAGAGTCAGGCCCCGGCTCCGGAGAGGACATTTCATGGCAGAACTGGACACAAACAGTCTCAACCATTTTCTGGCTCAGACCATCTCTGCTGAGATGCCCCCAGCAGGTCTCCAAGTGACAGACACAGGACACACTACACACTTCCAGTGACAGACACACAGGACACACTGCACACTCCCGGTGATGGGCACAGGACACACTACACACCATCAGGTCTAGCTCACCCTAGCTGAGATACTTTAGACAGTCACAGTGGGGTTGAGGCAATGTCATGCGGCTCAGCATCCTTGGGCCTTCCCTATGTCACCATTAAAATCATGACTCAGCCACCAAGACTCCTACAAACACATGAAAAACTGCTCCGTTCCCTCCATCATGCACAGACACATACATGAAGAAGCAATGTGCCTGCTGCCTTACTCTGACTCTCCCCTGAGTCAGTCTGACCCACCTCCATGGACAGAACAAATACTTATAAATAATAATGATTATTGTTATTATCTCCGAACCTGAATCCCGCTCAGGCTCTTCTGGGCTCTCCCCAATATACAGGTGAGACATCCATGTAGCCCAGGGCTCTCTCCCTTCTTACACCTTCACAAGATGGAGTCCCCAGTGAGTGTGACCCTTTGAATCCCGAGGATCTAAGGTTGTTTGAGACTTCTTCTCAAACACACACACACCACATACAAGTACACCCTCACAGGCTTACCTGTTTCTGACATCGTTCATGTAGATGAGGCCAGGGCCCCCGCAGCTTATCAGCCTTCACAATGGCAAAAGTCAGGACCAGGATCAGAGGGTTAACTGCTCACGCAGATGCTCAGGATCCAAGTGGGTGAGGGTGAAGTTTAAATTCAAACCTCAGAATGTCAGACCCAAGACATTCCACCGTGGGGGAGGGGAGGGCCAGGAGGGCCTGGCTGGGGAAACATTCCGTGAAGGGCTCTGATTGGACGGCCAGAACCAGAGCTTTCCTTCAAACTGGTCAGTTGGTAGCACAGCTGACATGGCCTCTTCTAGCAACTTTCCAGATTCTCAGCACACAGGTTTAACTTGCTCTTCACTGTACCTCAATGTTTTACTCACCAATCTAGTACCAGTCTAGTTGTGTGGCCCTCAGACCTCTTTAAATTCTCACTCCCTGTTGACCTACTTCAACAAAGTCTACTTCTTCTTAGTAAAATTCAGAACATAATCTCTGATCCACATAGGAAGCCAAAGCTTTGAAGGAGAAATCACATCTTCATATTCTCAGTGATTTTTTTGTTATTTAGTTAATTCTTCACGATTTAATTTTTTTGGGGGTCATTTCCAGCATTGCAAACCTGGCTCTGTGCTCAAGTATCACTCCCTGTATTACCTTGGGAACATATGGCGCCAGAGATTAAACCAGAGTCAGTCATATGCAAGTCGACTCTTATCCCCTGTATTGCCACGCTAGTCCTTAATAAGCGTAGTGTATTTTCTTACGGCGTCACATATGCATGCTCTTTAGAATCCATATTATCATTGTGTGTGATATTATCTTTATGGAATCTGTGTAGCAATCTTTAAAAAGACTTGTTTTTTATTTTTATTTTTTTTTGCTTTTTTGGGTCACACCCGGGCATTGCACAGGGGTTACTCCTGGTTCTGCACTTAGGTATAACTCCTCGCGGTGCACGGGGAACCATATGGGATGCTGGGAATCGAACCTGGGTCGGCCACGTGCAAGGCAAACGCCCTACCTGCTGTGCTATCGCTCCAGCCCCCTAAAGAGACTTGTTGATCCTTACTTTCATCTTCTAATCTTCCCCTTCATCTACTTCCATCGTTGATGTCCAATGATGTGGAAGCATGTTTGTGGGTTTGTTTTTTGTTTTGCAGTAAGAATACAGGCAGGGAGGTGTTTCAGATTCAGAGGAGCTTGACCAAATCTCATGGCAGACATTTCTCCTCTTGAATATTGCAGAAGTAGAGCTACTACAGAAAGTAGGGTTTGTGGGAAGAGGGGAATGATTTGGAGCATTCCTCCTAGTGAACATTCTCTGAAAGGGACTTTTGTTGGTACTTAGAAAGTGTTTTGTCCCTGAAAAAGAAAACAAGAACAAGAATATGAATTTAAAAGGAGTTGCAGGAGAATTCATAGTAAACTCCAAGTGTTAAACAAATGCTGTAAGAGAAATACTGTTTTTCCACAGTAATACTCTAAGTATAAAAATGCTTTGGGGGAAACTCTGAATACAGTCAGAGACATGTACTTTCTAAGAATGTTTATAGGGTCTAGAGTTTTTTTTTGCCAGGATTGTTCTTTTATGGGACCTTTGCAACTGCTACTGAGCCCAAAAATCATAATAGTAATTGTCCCCATTTGGGGCTAGTGTCTTTTCCTCAGCCCGCTCCAAAACGCTCACGATAGCTGCGTGGGACGGGCATTTCTCATTTTAAAATCGAGAGGACTCCTTCCACCAGCGCTGATTTTGAGGGCCAGCACTGAGGCTCGCGTGAAAGGGCCGGAGCTCCCAGGAACCCTCAGCAGTCCGTTGCTTGGCTCTCTTGCAGGAGCTCCTGGGCCCTCTTGCAGTCTGCCCCGTGCCCAGTCTCGCGGTACAATCGCCCTCCAACGTCTCCCAGAATCCTTCAAGGCTTTCCTACCCCCACCCCCCTCAAAGTCAGCGTGATGTCACGTGCACAACTGCCAAGCGCGGAGCCTTAACGGACATCAGGCCAGTTACCCGGCCTCGTGGGGCGGCATCCTGGTCCCTTATGCACATAGACAAGTAGTGCATCTCTGGAGGGGTCTCTGCCCTGCGTTATTGCCCGGCTGTTGGCTCTACACCCCGCACCCGTGTCTGGAGCCCCTGACTGTGGTGCGCACTTCGGGGTGTGTCTACACCGGGAGGGCGGTGTCCACTGCATTTCAGTTCCCAGGTGTGGTCCCTGGACCGCAGTCCCTCTGACGCTGCTGGGAGGGATCCCCGAAGCCCCACATTTGGAGTAGCCTCTGAACACCTCGGGTGTGGGCCCCAAACCAAAACTAAAATCAAGTAGATACACTGATCATTACAATTTAAAATCAGAGATCAACATATTAAAAAAGAACCACGAGGGCCGGAGAGATAGCACAGTGGGCGTTAGCCTTGCATGCGGCCGACCCGGGTTCTATCATCCCTTATGGTCCCCCAAGCACTGCCAGGAGTAATTCCTGAGGGCAAAGCCAGGAGTAACCCCTGAGCATTGCTGGGTGTGACCCAAAAAGCAAAAAAAAAAAAAAAACCCACGATGTAACCATATGCTACTTACAGGTTACATAATTCAAACGCAGCGATATGTAGAAATTGAAATTTAAAAACTGGAACAAGACGGGGAATGCAAGGGTTAAACAGTTGAAATGGCAATACTAATATTATGTAAAGTAGATTTCGCAATAAAAATGGTGACATGAGACAAAGAAGATCATCTCGCAATAAAATCAGGGTCAATCCTGGAAAACATAACAATTACAACACCTAGGCTGAATAAGCCAAAACCTCTCCAAAAAGTTTTGGAGAGGTCTAACGAAAAGATACTATCCACAAATTAGAACAATTGCTGTTAGGATTTTTGTACTCTCTCCAAAGGAGAGCACTGCTGATGCGCTCCCTTAAAAAAAATAGATGGGAAGATGGAGCAAATTAAATGAAAACAAATTAAAAGGAAATAATTCAATGAAACAACAAAGAAGCAACGGTAATAGTATAACAATGTCATTGACTCCACACAATAGGTAGAAAGGTCATTCTGACAATGTTGATTCTTCCAATTCATGAATATGGATTGTTCAATTTCATAAGATGTTGTTGAGGATTTTTTTCATTGATTTTGTGCCACATCGGTCATATATCAACCTTTATCCAATCATCTGTCATTGGATAACTGGGTTATTACCATATCCTGGCTGTTGTACTCAGCAGTGAAGATAGGTGTGCCTATATATTTTTGAATTAATATGTTTTGTGTTCTCGGGGTGGAGGTATACACATATATCACATTTTCTTTATCCAATATCTGTTATTGGATAATTGAATTATTTCCATATCCTGGCTATTATCCTCAGTAATGCAATGAACATATGTATGCCTGTATATTTTTTAATTAATATTTTTGTGTTCCTGGGGTAGATACCAAGAAATGGAATCACTGGGTCATATGGGAGTTCTTTGTTTACTTTTTTGAGGAATCTTCACACTGCTTTCCAGAATGAACTAGATGCCGTTCCCAACATAAATGAAAGACAATTTATTTTCAAATAAATTTTCTATTCTTTTCCTAAAAGAATTAGAAACCCACATCTGTGTTTCAGCACTTTTCAGTAAATGAAACAGTTTTGTTGACTAAGAGTAATGAAATCATCATTACCTGAATGCCCAATTATGGTGCAGTTGGTACCTAAGTTGGCAGGAGATGTAAGAGTTAAGCAAACATAAAAATATTAGGTCTGGGGACCGGAATGATTGGACAGCAGGTAGGGTGTTGCCTCGAGTGCTGCTGTCTCAGTTTCAATCCCTGGCATCCCACACGGTCCTTCAAGCACTGCCAGGAGTGATTCCTGAATGCAGAGCCAGGAGTAACCCCTGAGCATCACTGGGTGTGATCCAAAAAGGTCAGAGTCAGTTGAGCAAATTAAATTGACAATGGAACTATACTTTTGGTGTATTTTGTTAGTTTGTAAAGTGTTTGCTCTTTTTCCAGGATACTGTTTGACACAGATCCTTGTTTTTCAGAGAGCAATGGCACTTCAGTCCTTGCTTCACACAAGCACATGAGTGAGATGCTGCAATCCCAGACCTCTGACAGTTCAAGCACCTTAGTTTCAAAGAGAGCACTAGAAAGGCTAGTGGGTAGAGGCATGGATTTTGTGTTGTTTATTTGGGGAAGCAATCTGCTGGATTAGAGGGGAGCACATCGAACCCATCAAACAAGAAGAATCCATAGTGTTGGGTGGTTCTGGTACCAGGACAATGCTACTTCTGGTTCCTTTACCCCACCAGGACTTTGTCAGGGGAGGATATGTCTGCTATCAAAAGGGCGAGCAAAGAGCAATTGGAAAGAGTCTTGAGAAACCCCAGCAGGGAGGAAGATGCTGTACGGGCACAGAGAAGACTGCAGTTTACTGTGTGATCCTCTCCTGGGAGTAGCAAGTCACGGAAGCTTTACTGCTTGCCTTTCAGGACACAGAAAAGGGTGAGGGTGAAGGGTCAGCATCCGTCATTTTCCTTCTGAGCCTCTTTAGGAGTTTATGGTGCCTGTGTACTGGGGGAAGTAAAGTTCAGTGTGGGTGTGTTTGCAAATGAGGTACAGGCGTAGTATTCATGCGATATGGTTTTCATCCTGTGTTCCATGTAGCATCACCCCTAAGGACTTACATGTTGCCATCAGTAACTATAGACCAATCTTTATTTTTATGGAGTTATTGGTTTTTTGTTACTGTTACTGTGTTTGGCATATCGAATACTTCACAGGGAGCTTGCCAGGCTCTGCTGTGCGGGCGAGATACTCTCGGTAGCTTGCTGGGCTCTCCGAGAGGGGCGGAGGAATCGAACTTGGGTCGGCCATGTTGGCTGCGTGCAAGGCAAACGCCCTACGGCTGTGCTATCGCTCCTAGTCTTATATATTTTGAATATCAATTTCTTTATCAAAAGCATAGGTTGCAAATATTTTATTCCCTCTCAATAAGATATCTTTTAATTTTAGCCTTTTTTCC